ACTATGAACAGAGCGGATCAGATGATGAACCGAGTATTAATAGTGAAGATGAAGAATTAGTTTTGCCAGTCTTTCATACAATAGCATCGGTGGAAACAATAGAAGACCATAGTTCTACCGAAATTGAAAATCAATTACACGTTATACAGTTACCTAAGCATCAAAGATGTGCAAGTCACACAATAAATTTAATAGCAACGACTGACATAAAAAACAATATCCATAAAAATCATGTACTTAGACAGAGACACACTATAGTCCTGAGTAAATGTTCTACACTTTGGAATAAGTCATCTTATCCGAAGTCGGCAGAAATTATAAAAAGTGTTTTAGGACATTATTTATCTTATCCGGGAATAACAAGATGGAATTCACATTTTGACTCGATTAATCAACTATTGAAAGAAAAACATAAATTAAACGATCTCTGTACTAAACTTAATCTAAAACAGTCCTTCAAAGACAACGACATTCAGTACTTGGAAGAATACTGTACCATTTTACACCCACTAGCGGCGACTCTTGATGTACTACAGGGTGAAAAAAATACATATTTTGGATACTTATTGCCATGTATTGCTACCATGAGAGTTAAACTGAACAAATTAAAATCAGAAAAATTTAATTTAGTTGAACCAATATTAGATGCATGCATTGATGGATTGGAACGAAGATTTTCCCACCTAATTCATCTAACCAAAGAAGCAGACAATGCCATTATCGCTGCTTTTACTATCCCAAAATTTAAATTTAAATGGTTCAGTGCCTTGAAGGATCAATCATTAAGAAATATTGATGAATTGCAAAAAATTGTAATTGAGGCTGCAAAATCATTGAGTGGTGACAATCCCAACATTTCATCTCAAAATGAAGCTTCGAAGCTGGAATCTATGTTCGACGATAAATTTTTCGACTATGACTTGTCTGGAAACTGTCAAAGAGCTGAAGCGGAAACAAGCCCGGCCCTTATTTATAAAAATAATGCAATTGAGCTTGAAATATTAAGTTACCTGAATGACCCAAGAGTTGACTTAGACTGTTTAAAAAAATACCCTTTAGTTCATTCTATGTTTTTAAAATATAATACAGTTTTACCCTCAAGTGCACCAGTTGAAAGACTATTTTCATTTGCATCCATAATCAATTCACCTAGAAGGCATGCTTTATCGGATGAACATTTTGAATATCTGGTTCTTTTAAAAGCTAACAAAAATTATTTGTAATTTGTGTCTTTTTCTCAATTTTTTTTAATAAGAGATGACTCTTGTTTTTGGTTTGTGTATCATTTTTTTTATCCAAAGAATATATTTTCGTTTTCAGTTCCTATGACTTGTGATCTGCACTATTTACTTTAAGTTTGTATTAGAAGAATAATATTTTAAGTTCTTGTAATAAATATAGGTAGTAGATACTTAAACTAGTAAATATAAAAATAAAAATCAACAATATTGTTTTATTTCAATATGTTTATATCTATTAGAGGAACAACACTAAAAAAGAAATTATTTTTTTAAATTGCCTTTAAATAATTAAGAAAGAAAAACACAATTTCTTTATTACAATTAATTGTACTTATACAAATAATACAGTTTTAGTAATTTCATGAACTTAGCCTGGAGTTGTTGTGATGTGTAAGGATAGGATACTGTGTAAAAAAAAAATTACCCACACTTACAATTATTTTGGTTACCAATACCATTTATCATTCACAATTATTGTAATTTGCAAAAAAATACAAAATATAGAGATTCTCTAGTCAAATGAACTGAGGAAATTGAAAGTAAGCTTTTGTATTTTTATTGTTCACTAGCGTTGATGTTAGGTGTACTAAGATTTCAGGGCATATTCAAAGGGCTTCAAGCACATTTAAAGAGCTTCAAGCACATTTAGAGAGCTTCAAGCACATTCAAAGGGCTTCAAGCACATTCAAAGAGCTTCAAGCACATTTAAAGTGCTTCAAGCACATTCAAAGGGCTTCAAGCACATTCAAAGAGCTTCAAGCACATTTAAAGAGCTTCAAGCCCTTTTTCAGGCACCCCAAGCACTTTTGATGTGCTTCAAGCACTTTATAAATTACTTTGAGGGCTTTGTGCTTGCCAAGCATAAAGCACTTTGAGGGCTTTGTGCTTGTGAAGCACTTTTGAAAATAAAAAGGAATTTGTGCTTGAAATTGAAAGCACTTTGAGAAAGGGCTTAGGGCTTAGTGCTTCAAGCCCATTCACTGAGGGCTTTGCCCAGCTCTGCTATACAGTAAGATCGTTGGGCAATACTCGAAGAGAGGCGCTATAAGAGTTTTATATACATGTATTCTTGACATATATGATAGATTCTTACAAATTCTACTAAAGAAATTTATTCGCTTGCTGACCTTATCTGATATGTATTCAACATGTTTACTAAACTTTAAATGTTTGTCAATAATTAAACCTAAATATTTACATTCATTTACAAAATCTATATTTTCGTTGAACATTTTCAATTCAGGATTTATCACATTATATTTTGTTGTAAACAACATTCCCTTTGTTTTTTTAATATTTACAAATAATTTATTATTTACCATCCATCTTTCTAGTTTATTTAAAGCATCCTGCATTTTCTTTACAACTAATTCTATTGATTCCCCTATCACAGAAATGGCTGTATCATCAGCAAACAAATTAATCATTATATCTTCATCAACACATTCAGAAATATCATTAACATAAACAATAAACAACAAACAACCTAGCACCGTACCCTGAGGGACACCAAATACTACTCTTTCTGTTTCTGACAATGAATTACCAATTTTGACCTTTTGACACCTATTAGATAAATAACTAGTAAACCATTTACTGGCCTTATCAACTACACCGTACCTTTCTAATTTCTTGATTAATATTGACCTATCAATAGTTTCGAATGCTCTTTTAAAGTCAATGAAAACAGTCAAAACCATTTTGTTTGAATCCAATGCTTCTTTCCATTTAGTCACTACCAATTGAATGGCTGTTTCACACGAATGTTTTTCGCGGAAGCCAGACTGGTTTTCAATTAGGATATTATTGGTATTTATGTGGGTCAGCAGTTGTGGTTTAATGAATAACTCGAGCACCTTTTCACACAAAGGAAGCATGTTTATTGGGCGGAATTCCTCACATTTTTTTGTATTAGCAACTTTCTGTATTGGAGACACTATCGATACTTTCCAGGCGTCAGGTACTTCACATGTCGTTATAGACCTATTTATAATTTTTTGTAGTTCTTTAGAAATGACACTCTGTCCCAATTTTAAGACGGTTTTTGTGATCTCATCTACTGAATTTTCCTTACTCAGGCTGTTAATGATATTCACAGTCTCCATTTCAGATATTAAAGAAAAAGCCTTGAGTTTGTTCTCCACTTCCATTTTCCCAATTTTTTTATATTCTGGGCTCGATTCTGGGGTTATTTCATGCCCATTTGATTAATTGACTATGTTTTGAATACTCTGTATAAAAAATCTGTTGAAATTTTCAGCAATATCCTGCTTGTTTATTATCTTTTCACCATTAAAATATACTTCCTTTATTTGGCTTTTCTTATTTTTCCCCATTACTTCTTTTATTCCTTTCCACATCTTCTTACTGTCTCCTCTATTCTGATCGATGATGCTTTCATAGTATTTTTGCTTCTTTTTTCTTATTAGTGCAATCACCGAGTTACGGCTTTCTCGGTACTTTTTCCAGTTTTCTTCACTGTTTTGCAATCTAGCTCTATTATAAAGGGTGTCGCGTGTTTTCATTGAAAGTTTTATTTCTTGATCAAACCATTTATTCTTCAAAGGAGATTTTTTTAGGACCTGGATTGGCGCTACAGTATCCAATACTTCCAAAATATTTTTGTTAAAATTTTCCAGTAACACGTTTACGGAGCCATCTTGTAACCAAGCTTTTTCCAATAAATGCCTCTCTAGTTGGTCTTTATCGATGTTCTTAATACTTTTAATTATTATATTTGTTTCAAAACATTTTTCAAAACTGATTTAAGTAGTGTCATTATGACGTCATAATTTCTCGGCGCGAGAAAATGGTTTGAAAACGTGGATTGGATTGTATTTCAAAACGGTTTGAACCAATTTTGACGTGACGTCATGAGTTTATCGTGAAAATGTAGTTTTTCAAAACAGTTTTGAACCAGTTTCAAGAAAGTGGACGCGAGAAAACGGCTCCGTTTTTTCCTATAGCGAAAAATGACAAGACCTATCAGTCGGGTGTCCTACTTTTTGTTCTCATGACTGTATAATCGGAATCGGATCGGAAGAATGCATGATAAATGTGTCCCGGGCTTTATTAGTGTTATTTTTTGAGTCATAGTAAAAGTAACGCCATAAACAAAAGTTGTTTGTTAGTTTGCGGATTTTTTTGGGTTGTTTTTTTTCAAAGATTATAAGTGTTATTTTTTTGTTTATGGTAAAAGTTACCCTGGATATCTTTGGAAAAAAGTATTAATTCGTGTTAAGCTGTACGTTTTTAAGTTTTTTTTTGAAATCTGATTTTTGATTTCGTAATTTGCTGTTAAGTGGTTTATGAAGTAATTTTTTTTGAACTAACGTAAAAACTAAAAGTTACGTTATTGCGAACAAAAGTTGTTTTGTATCCGTATCCCTTGTTTAAGTTTTAAAAGTTTTGCTGCGATAAATAGGTATAGTGTTCAAAAGAGCCTAGAGCCCGTAAACGTGTACGAAGTAGATCCAGCAGTAGCAATACCTGTAACTTCGAGTTCCTCATCAGATGATGCAAGATAATGAAAGAAAAAAACGGAGGCAAATAGGTATCAGCCTGATAAAAGATCATTCACACCAGTAGAGTCGCCAAATGAATTGACAAGGCTTGTTGTAAAAAGGGACTCTATTCCTGAATTCTCGCCATATAATCAGTCGTTAATAGCAGTGATGCCAACTTGTGGGAAATTTCCCGATTCGTGGGAAATTAGTAACACTAAAAGGAAAAGGGAAATAAAATTAGGCCTAATAAGTGCCAAATTCGGTTAAAAAATAAAAATTTTAGAAAGGTGGTCAGTCCTTAAGCGGAACACACTGTAAGTATATGTATTAAAGTTTATGCATGTAAACCTTACTGCAGTTGTTTCTCTCATTTGAACTGTGCATCTACCAAAAATTCAGGTAAATTAAAAAAAAAGTGGAAAAGTTATAAGGAAGGTGAGCTATTAGGATTTTGAAACACCCTGTATTTTATTATGTTGTATAGAAAATAAAGTCTGTCTCAAAATTTGGTAAAAATAAAAGTTAAAATGACATTATGTTGTTACTTCATGATATAATTATGTAGTTATCAACGTTACAAATTTGATAAATAGCTAATAACGGCCAACATTATTCTTTGAAGTTTTAGATTGTATAGTCAAGTTAATATCTTAAAAAAATCAGACTTTATTTTTAATTTTGAATTAGACATAGTCTATTATATTATCTTATACAAGTGAAACAAAGAAAGACTTAAAAAAATATTTGTATATTTCATAAATTAGTTAAAATAATAATTATTAAACAATTTCATATATTTTCTTAGGAGTTTCCTCTATCCCACTCTTGTACAAAGAATTCAGAAAATAGCAATATGTCTATGAAAAGGTAGATAGTAGCTATTTATGTAACAAATTATTACACAATTTTTTTTTTGTAAGTGGATTTCTAACACAAGTTACATAAACTTGTCTTATCCAATGTTTCATCGAAAATTTTTCTCAATTAAATATCATCAAAAATGTCAATAAATCATATAAGGATAGGACTAATAATTGTATCCAAGTTAAAGAAAGATAATTTCATTTCAACGCACAATGTTGTATTTTGAAACTAGGTATGCAGTTGAAAAGGGTAGGTAATACACAATAAAACTTGCCCAAACATAAAACAAGTATAAAATTTGACTTCCAAAATTAAGGCTCATTTTATTCTTTTTTCTCTCAAAGTTTATCAGTTTTGTTTGAGTGGAAACTTACAGTACCTACATGATTTATCAAAATTTGTTACAAGTACCTACTTAGTTGATAAGAAAAATAACCTCCTATATTGACAAAATATATAATTACCTATTTCTAATTTTATGTTTCCAACAATTTCTTTAACTAATTTTAAATCCTTTTTTCAATTCATACAAATTTACATCGACTAGAATCAAAATCTTGCATTCATGGAATAAATATATTTTTAACAAATTAAATATGCATAAAAAAAATGAAAATCTAATACCAATGAATAACTCAGTTATAAATTTAAAAATGCTGAATAGCTGAATGGAGCTCACTCACTCAAGATGTATAGTTGGAATCAAATTTATAAAGGCAATTTGAATAAGTGATAAGTAATGTGGTATGAGGATTGTATTATTGATAGCCAATTAGCTAATTATGATAAAATTAACTAAAAACTACCAATAAGTAGTCATTTCAACTGAAATTTCTAGTTTCTTACAATAATTAACTAGAAAATGACTGTTATCTTCCTCACAGTTTTCACACCACATTCCTATTGAAAATTCTATCTATATTTTCACTATAAACTCTGCACCATAATCATAAAACCTCTCTCATTTACATCTACCTAAACTTTAACACCAAATACAATATGAAAAACACAATTATTGCAAACACAAACAAATAAATTATAATATAGTTATGTGACCCTCTAGACAATTTGACTACCCTAGACATGGTTTTGCCGAGAAACCCTCCAGTTCTATCCATGTCATCGTCTACGTCCCTCAACAGTTTGTGCTGGAACTGCACCTCGTTACCGATGTCTATGGATAAGGATTTCAGGACGCCTATTTTGTCAGATAGTTCCTGTGCCATACGTTCATTTTCGTGTTCGATTTCGTTGTTGTCTTGGGGCAAAGGTTCGTAGTAATTGCCTGCGTGGGACCTACGCATTTTGTGGGATGCCAGTTTGCACTTGTAGGGTCTTTTATTTGAAGATAGGTTTTATGAATGTGTTTTTTTTTTCAATGGCACTGAAAATTTTCGAAAAATGAAAGTTTTCTAAATATTTATCAATTTGCTACTGACTAGTCGACGAACGGACGAACTGACGTGACGTGTACTTTTAGGTTATGTTATGATCGAATGATCGATGGATGAGGCGCGTTCGATAACATGTTCTTTATGGGAACCCAACAAAGCTTTGCACTCGAGGGAGCGGAACGGTATGAGCATGGATATCGTGACGTCATATGAAGAGTGCGCCCTGAACATGGTCATAAACCGAACGCAGATAAAAAAAGACCTTGTCACAGTTGTCAGTTGTCAGTGTTGTCAGGAGGAACTCCGGAACAGCTCCGGGGCTTCACGCGCTTATTCCTTTCGAAAAGTATTCGTTGCATTACGCATCTGTTCCCTGCAAATCGGGGGCGACTAAACACCGGAGCGAGTAGCTCGAGTATTTCAAACCCTTGAAAGGAATACAACTTTTGGCATTTAACTCAACTTCTAGAATTACACGAAAAGTAACGTCATTCCAGAAGTTAACTTTTAGTTATTCTGTCCAAGGGAGTTGATACTTTACATTTCTGGGGTGGGTAAAGTTATAGGGGGAGATGGGGGCAGGGACCCGGACCGGAATGATATTGGACCGAAAACCGGAACGAAACCGTTTTTTTTTGCGGACCGGAACCGGAACGAAACCCATATTTCATAGAAATGTTGTAGGGCAGGCAGAACCGGAACCGATATAAATTAATCGGTTCTTACCGGTTTTTTTCGGTCCCAAGATTTTATAAATTAAGCTGTTTTGCTGTTTGGTTGTATCATAATAAAATTAACACTTTGAAAAACAGAGCGTTGGACATTGGACAGCGCGCATTTCTGAACTCGGCTAGGCTACACACCAAGGATTTTACATACTACTACAGGGTTGCTCATCGGCTTCGATTTTTGGAATCAAGTTCATATGTTGTTGAACCGTTGCCGACGTCATCAACGGTCTCGTTAGCGGTTTGCGTTCGTAGTTGAAGATGCAAATGAGCAAATGAGATCTAAACAAGGGTTGTTTTAGAATAATAAATAATGTACTATGGTTCTAAAACCGCTGTTACGTCATCACTGATCGAAAACACAAACCACAAATTATAGAAACATAAATTTTTCTGTAATGACTGTTTTAAGGGATGTTTCTTGAAATGGTCAGTGCAAATGGCCATAAGATATTTGTGAAAAACTATACCGGTATGAACCGTTAAAACCGAAATTATTGGTGGAACCGAATGGAAATATTTCTCTTAGAACCGAAACCGTAACGGAACCGATATTCGTCATGACGCTGTGGACCAGAACCGGAACGGAACTGATATTTCATTTCGGTCCGGGTCCCTGGATGGGGGTAAAGTTAGGGGGAGGTCCGGAGGGAAATTTCAAGCTCATTTCTTTTCCAGAACTTGACCTGATATAAAACTGGTACAGGCAATATATATTTTTCCTACAGCCGTGCGGAAAAATCGATTTTCCGCACTGATATGCGTGCAGAAAATGAGTTTTCCCGCACGGTGCGGTAAAACTTTTTTTTTTGACATATCAATGCGGAAAAAGTTTTTCCGCACGGCAGTCAGTGCGGAAAAAATTTTACCGCACTGATATGTCAAAAAAAAAGAAAAATTTTACATTTTTCCGCCTGTAGGAAAAATATTGTACCTAACACTTTGCATCACCGAACTCCGCTACGTTGTTAGGTAAATAATTATTTTGTTAGGTAAATAACTACTTGTTAGGTAAATAACTATTTTAAATTTACCTAGTGTGAGTCAGGCTTAACAGCAAAAAGTATCTTCTGAAAAACGTCAAAACTGAACAAAAGTGAATGCAACGTATGTTTTTATGTTATGATTGGTTTAAATATGACACTGGACTTGACTCTTTTTGTCATTGTTGAGGTGATAAAAAAGATCGATTTACACAATACAACAAAATGGGAAAATGCGTACCAGTTTTATAATTGGCCAAGTCTACATACTTTTTTAAATTTAAGGCGATTTCGCCTCAGATTTTCATCTGCTGTTTGGTAGGCGAATGGTTAACCAATTGGTACGTGATCCGTGAGTAGCTCAACATTCGCATCCGGATTCAGTGGGTAGGGCGTTTGGCACATTTTTACTTTGACATGTTTATTAAGACATGAGACAGAAAGAGACGGAAAGCTACCAAACCTCCACTATCCAGTCAACCGCGATATAGCATTTGACAGACCAAAGCGCCTACCAAAGTTGTTGTGACGGCATCATTCTCCCATCCAAAATTGATTGGTACCTGTTTGACGGACCAAACTGAGGTACCAAAATGAGGCGAAATGGTCTTTAGTTTTATGCTATTTTTTGACAATTGACAGATGACACATCACCAAAAATCTACCAACCTTATAATGGCTGAGTTCGTTCGGCTTATTGCACTCCATGATGAATATCGTGACGTCATAGGCAGAGTGAGCTCTGAACAAGTACGTAAGCCGAACGCAGATCAATAAAAAAAAAAACAAAATGGTGTTAATGGCCAGATCCATGTTCTTCTGGAAATGTACTAAACTTAAACTGATTCAGTGTTAGTGTAAAACTGGGGCAGCACGGTTTTTACCAACAGAATACAGTACTAGATAATACAGTTTTCTAAAAATAAATGTATATTCATTCTTGCAGCTAGCTGTGCAACTTGCAAAGAACAGAGAACAAGAAGAATTTAAATAATTTTTATTTGATAATATTTTACTTAACCCGGAAGCACCAATATTTTTCATCTAATAAAATATGTATTGGTTTTTTTTAAAATTTACCTAAAAAAATAGAGATCCTGGGGGGGGTAATTGCCCCCTCTACCCCCCCATATCTACGCCCTTGATTCTGTCAAAATAGTTTTATAATACCCGCCTATATCTAAAAAAAAAATTGATTTGTTTTGATTTTAATTTATGGCGTTTCCGATTGGTAGATCTAGTGCGGAGCTAGTGCAATTTTTTCTATTCCTGTCTTTTTCTTCTACAGATTGATTAAAAGGATGGAAATACACTCAGTGCGCACTGAATCTACCAATCGGAAACGCCATTAGTAAACGATTAAAGTTCATTCCACCAAACGAGATAGTAGAGGTAAACAAACAGGCGGAGCTTAAAAATTCAGAGAAGGACTGCAAAAATATGAATTACTTACAACTAATGACATTTATTATTGTCAGGTTGTCATATGAGTCAATAAGTTTAATGTCGTATTTCCTAGTATTTTACAATTATTTAAATAGTGTTTGGTGAATTATTGTTAATTAGTGAGCAATTTAGATTAAAACAATATCAAGTTCAACAAATTCCGCTGAAGAATTCGTTCGGAAATATATTCAGCGAAAAGAAATACAAAACCACCTAGGACGGTCCTGCCTTGGGTGGAGTATAATCCTTTTCTAGCCAATAAAATTCGACTTACCTGTCAAAGTTTGTTTACTGTCACTATCTCGTTTGGTGAAATGAACTTTAGGTAAATTGGCAATGGACCTGAAATGAAATTAGAAGAGAAATCTGGGCAAAAAAACCGGAAACGCAAACGGAATTAAATTTTTTTGACAATATTTTAGGTTATAATTTTTCAAAAATGGCGGTTGACTAATTTCTCTGGTTCTCCATCCATCCATCCAGGGAAAAGAGAGCGAGCTCAGGGTACGTGCTCGATTATAACCCGAACGCAAAAGAGAACACTCTAAACGTTTCTTTTTTGCGTACGGGAACCGGAAAGAAACCATATTTCATAGAAATGTTGTAAGGCAGGCTGGATCGGAACCGATATAAATTAATCGTTTCTTACCGGTATTTTTCGGTTTCAAGATTTTATAAATTAGCCTGTTTGCTGTTTTGTCGCCGTATCGTTATAAATTAAACACTCTAAAACCAAAAACAGAGCGTTGGAAAGCGCGCATTTGTGAACTCGGCTAGGCTACACCAAGGATAGATAGTACACACTACGATACGACAGAATTGCTCATCGGCCTCGATTTATGGAATCAAGTTCATTTTGTGTTGCAACGTTGTCGACGTCATCAAAGATGTCGTTAGCGGTTTGCTCCAGCGGGTCGTAGTTGAGAATATACATTTATGATGAAAAATATTATTTAATTTTGATTAATATAATTTGCAAAGAGGAAGATGCAAACAAGATCTAAACAAGGGTTGTTTTATGGCGTTATTTTTACAAATGTCAATTAAAGCGTTGATTATCGTTAAACCTCCATTAAAATGGTCGGTGCAAACGACCATTAGAAGGTTAAATAATGTAATAAAACCAAATATGCGTAAGGCAAAAATCAGTGCAATCATAACCTGTGGTGCAAACCAATGACAAACACCCTACACTTGGCCAAACATAAAACTGGTACAGGCAAAATATGTACTTCAAATTTGCCTAGTGTGAATCAGGCTTAACAACAGAAAGTCTCTTCTGAAAAACATAGGCTAGACAGTTGTTGTCAATGTCAAAGCTGAACAACAGTAAATGCAACATGTTTTTATGTTATGATTGGTTTAAATATGACACTGACTTGCAGTGATGTGCCTGTGGACAATGTCAACGTAAACAATTGATTGTCTACGTGTAGACAATTCGAATTGTTTACGTGGGCATTTGTCTACATGTGACGTAAACAATAGACTTATTTTAGAAAATTTTAAAAAAAGTTCCAAAATTACTACTACCTAAGTAGCTTATACCTATCACTTTGATATTAGCATTCACTGATTATAAATATGAGGAAAACCGATAATAAAATAAAAATAATTTTCGAAAAGGAAAGTGTGAGGTTAGAATTAAACGTCATTTATATTATTTTACATTGTTGACACGTTGTCTACATTGTCTACACGTAAAGTAGACAATGAAAGTCTACGTGTAGACGCACATCCCTGTTGTTGAGGGGATAAAAAAGGTCGATTCACACAATATAACATAATAGAAAAATGCGTACCAGTTTTATGTTTGGCCAAGTGTACGTCAAAACGAGAAACGACACGCTGCCTGCGTCATCACTGGTACTTTGACGTGGTGGGTGGCTTGAGATTTTTATTTATTTTTATAATAATATTTAATAATTATTTAAAAGTCTATTCAAATAGCAATAAAATACCACTTACAGTTTGTATTTTTCAAATTTCCGTGTGTCAATGGGCCACAGTAAACCACATAAGTCATTGTGACGCACGGGCACGGTGTCATTGATGACGCACGGGCAAAGTAAAAAAATACAAACTGTAATTAATAGGCTCGTTCAGTGAAGTTTCATTAACCACGTTTTTTCATATTTTTATGGAGTATTACTCGCATATAGCACACAAAAAAAATTTCAGCTCAATTGGATAAATATTAAAAAAGTTATGCGGCTTTGAATATTAAAAAATTATGCCTCAGAAATTCATCGCTGAGAGATGGTATGACCATGACGTCATCTCTCGAGTCAAGACAGGCTAAAGGCCGCCGTAACACACGGTTTTGCATCCTCCATGTGCCAAACTAAAACTTGTCAAAACAATGTCCGTAATGTCGTAGTGACGGGCGTACCAGCACCACCACGACCAACGTGAGAGATGCATTGACGTCACCGCACATAGCCGGTTCTAGGTGGGGGCTTGGGGGGGCTAACCCTCCCAAATCTGGAATTAGCCCCCCCAAATTTAAATTAGTGATGAGTGGCAAAAGTTTGCAGTCCCTGAATAAAAAATATTCAAGCGTTAGGATTAATTAACTACCTACGTACCTACATAATTTCATTAATTTCACTGATTTAATACCTTTATCTAATTATTTCATAAAATTTTATTCAATTATTTCATGAATATCCGAAATCGGGACGTCTGGAAACAGTGGCAACCCTAGTCCCCACCGCTAGAAACAGGGTTGCCTCTGTTTAGGTGTGTGTATTAAGTAGAATGAAACTTTTGTATTTTTCATAAATAAATAAAAACAATTTTGGCTAAATATTTATTAAAATATTTGATAGTTTTGATAATTTATTTAAATATGAACAAGGGCTCGGAAAATTATGAAATTGTGCACAACTGCTAAAGCTCAATACGCTCTTTTAGAATATGTAATAAAAAAAAATCCTGTGCAGTTCATACCCGGTAGAAGTGAAACCTTCATCGAACTGCATGCATTACACACATACTAACATACACAGTGGCGTCTCCCCCCCTCCAAAAGACTTGAGAAAGAACGCAAATAAATATAGTTTAAAAAAACTAAAATACACGCTGGGGTGCTTTGTTCCACATTTCTCATACATTGAGCACCACACGCTTTTTTGACAATAATTCTAATATTTTTTGTTCATTAATATTTTTTGTTTATATTAAAAATAATTTTATCTACGACTTCTCTAGAAAGCTATTAAAAACGCACTAATAACTTACATGGAAAATCAATTATTCCGCACAGCGTGCGAAAAGTAACTTTTGACACGCTTTTGCGTGCGAAATAGTTATTTTCCTAACAAGTGCGCAAAGTGTCACTTTTCCGCACGCAAACACAGTTATACGAACGACGCGAAGCGGAGTTCGGATACGTGTTTGCGTGCGGAAAAGACACTTTGCGCACGTGTTAGGAACAACATTTTTCCTACGAGCTTCATATCAGGTAGGTAACAAGATTTTTTTTTTTTTTTAAACCCATAATTTGTTCAATTATTTTTAATTAACTTGAAGCGAACCTATACATTTATCAAAAAATTACCTAATAAAAAAAATAACAGAAAATCCTCGTCAGAGCTGTTCATCTTAAAGCATTTAAATTTGATGATAAAGTTTGTAGATTCTTGCATATAAATAGAGAACAAATCTGACAATGTGTCAAGGTTAATTTATATTTGGTGTTTGTATTGATGTTGGCTGATATAGAAACCGAGAAAAAATTTGTCATCATGTGTCAAAGTCGACAGGTGCACTTATTGTTGCTTGACAAGTATTTTTACTTTTCGGCACTCAGTGCGGATAAGGCCTGTATCCGCACTGAGTGCGGAAAAGTGTAACTTTGAGCCCTGGAATGCGTGCGGAAAAGTACTTCTTTGCGCACGCTCGTAGGAAAAGTACTTTTCACACGCTAAAATAAAAATGACACTTCTACTGAATTTTTGTTTTGCAAGTAACTCTTGAGTGCATTCAACGCACGTACCAAAATGGTTCGTTGATTATAACCCTAAATAATAATTTTTAACAAAAAAAAATTAAATCTCAATGTGAATGTAGTTATTTCGCAGTCGTAGAAAAAGTATAGTGTGTAACGCGTGTGAAAAGCACGTTTCCGTTTCACACTCGTGTGGTTTGTGCCACTCGCAAAACTTCCCCACGCGTGTGAAAAGTGCTATTTTCAACACTTGTTGCACAATATACTATTTCACTTTCTAGTTCAATTTACTATAAAAGCGTGTTTTTTAGTTTTTTTAAAATATATTTATTTTTCACTTTTTAGTTCGATGTATTATAAAAGCGTGGCAGCCCCAGAGATTTCCAGACTTTTCCAGACATTATCCAGACTTATTCAGAGGTTTCCAGAGTTTTCCAGATTTCATCCAGATTTATCCAGACTTGTACAGACTGATCCGGATTCTGGGAAATGATTCCCAGGTCTTTTGGGACCTTTGGCAGAATTTTTCCGACCCTTTCCAGAAATTTCCAGACGTTTCCAGACATTATCCAGACTTATCCAGAGCTTTCCAGAGTTTCCCAGACTTCATCCAGATTAATCCAGACTTTATCTAGACTTGTCAGACTGATCCAAATTCTGGAAAATGATCCCCAGGTCTTTTGGGACCTTTTTTAGAATTTTTCCAACCCTTTCCAGAAATTTCCAAGTCTTTTCCAGACGTTTCCAGACTTTTCCGGACAATAACCAGACTTATCCAGAGTTTTCCAGACTTTATCCAGATTTATCCAGACCTTATCCAGACTTGTACAGACTGATCCGGATTCTGGAAAATGATCCCCAGGTCTTTTGGGACCTTTGGCAGAATTTTTCCGACCCTTTCCAGAAATTTCCAGGCTCTTTCCAGACGTTTCCAGAGATTTCCAGACTTTTCCAGACTTCATCCAGATTTATCCAGACATTTTCCAGACTTGTTCCAGCTCACTTGGCTTGTTCCAGGTTCTTGTTGTGTGTTAATATAAGCGTGTTAAAAAAGTGTTGCTTTTTCGTTTCATGTCGCTTTTTCGTTTCAGGGAGGGTCGCTTTTTCGTTTCATCAAGTCTCAAATCACTCCCAACGATTCTAAAGAAGTTTTCACTTCAAAATATGCTGTACGAGCCTATTGATCGGGAACACAAAAACGTATTCTTGATATTAGATCTGTTTCTGCAGGAATCACAAACCAGTCAGAGTGAATTTCATTGGTTGAAACTAGTTTTCTGACTGTTTTCAACCAATGAAATTCGCTCTAACTGGTTTGTGATTTCTGCAGAAACAGACCTATTAATAATCATTATAAAGGCCATTTTACAGCTTGCAATTCTATCTGCAATATGCAAGAAACTTGAACGAGGGCATGTGCAGAAGTGAGTCAGCTGATTAGTTTCTGCAAGATTTTTGAAACGAATGGCATGCTTGCAATCGGTTTGGTGCCATTTGAAAGTTTTCGTGCAAGCTGGGGAATTTTTAGCAATTATGATGCTTAAAATTGCTGCTATTGCTTTCTTCTTTTTATATCGACTTATAATAACTTTTTTTATTTTTGGAAAATGCAAACATCAACAACACAACATTAAAAACAAAAAAGTATGGTTAAAGTTAGAGAAAGAAACAAGTCAAATTGCAAGGTGTAAAACGACGTGTAAGAAATCTTGAATGAAATTTTTTTGCATGCAAAAAATGGCATTCAAGTTTTCTTGCAAGCTGTAAAACGACCTTAATAAAGTTGCTGCAGATAGGCAGAGAAATCCAATTAGGCAATTCAATCCATCTGTCAAAAAGGAAAATTCAATGTGGTGTGGCGGCCAAGCAAGTTTGATTCTCATTATTTATTAAAATATTTGTTGACTAGGTACCTAAACTATTAATTCGGGCAGAAACTAGATATTTTTTTGTGTTTTTTGGCCCATGTGTGGGCGCCACGCCATCTTGAATGTCACGTGGTTTGAATTGCCTAATAAAAAATAAACCACAAATTGCAGAATCATTAAGGGCCGTATTCTCCGTAGTTCATAAAGCCTGGCTTAGTGGAAACGCTTGGCTTTTTGTGTGACAAAGCCGAGCTTTTCCACTAAGCCAGGCTTTATGAACTACGGAGAATATGTCCCTAATTGTTCTGTTAAAACATTTGTGAAAAACTATACCGGTATGAACCGTTAAAACCTCTTCCCTAATCTAAGGTTAAAACCGAAATTATTGGTTCGTTTTTGTCATTTGTTTCGTTGCTGGTCCGAAACTTTGACAGGCAATTCTGAGATTGCTCTAGAACGGTTCTTTCAGTTCTTGCTCTGAAGGAGTAACTGTTTTGGAATTTTGCGATTTGGGGCGTGTTTTGGTTTTTTTGGTCCCGAATCGGTTCAGAACAAGTATTAAAACAATTCTCTATTATTTTTTTTGCGCAAGCAGTTCTTCGCAATCCGAAAACCGTTTCAAATTTTGAACCAAAGCAAATCTCCATTCACAACCACAACGGAGCTGCTTACGATCAAACCACTTTCTAACCTAACTTGAAGAAAATAACTGATAGCAATTTCTATTTGCAGAATCAGTGCAAAAAAAAATGTATTTTTATCCTTATATTTTACATGCTTTAAGAAAAAGATGTAAATGCACTCAGTGCACACTGATCAACAAATGGAAATCGAAAACGCTAACTTGGGTCAGAAAATGGTCTGATCGTAAGCAGCTCCGGTGTGTCATTTCGGAGCATGCCCCAAAATTCGATGTGAGATGGTGAACGCATCCTAGCGTTCCGAGGAAAAGTCAAATGGAAAAGAAAAAACAAAAAACAATAACAATAATAAAACAACAGGTTGAAAGTTTTATATTCATAATAATCAAAAAACTGGATATTCCACTATTATTATTGATCATCAATGATAAATTAAATTAACAAATTACCATCGACTATTTCATATTGGTTTATTTCTGAATATCATATTGAAAATGTCGTCTTCGAAACCGCAAATGTATATTTACCATTTACCATACGAAGAAAGAAGAAAATTGTGCTTCATATTAGATCAAAACAACAAATGGGAAGAATTGGCCCTCAAACACATGCTATATGACGAAATGGCGATAGCAAACGTTAGGAAAGAAGTTGTCAGAGGAAATTCACCTTCTAGTGAGCTTCTAACTTTGTGGGGACATCAAAATCATACTGTTTTTGGTAAGTAGGTGACGAAGGTATAGATATAAGAAATCAATTCAATTCAATTCAATAGGCTTTATTGTCAAAAAATACAGGATTTTTATAGACAAAGCAATAGCAAAAATAGTGAAAGTTAAATATTACAATTAAATGTCAAATGCTTAACTTGTACTAGGGTAAGTGTATACAATTTATAAAATAATTAAAATACAATTCATAAAATACCTAAAATAGTTAAAATTCTTTGGTGATAGTCATAATACAAAAAACAATGAGAATAAAACAGTCAACAATATCACAATACAAGACATAAATTGTTTAGATGTCAAATTAAATATATACAATTTCCAAGTTGTTGGTACATATAATATACATGAGAACAAAAGACAAAAAACCTGAAACGAAGAGTAGGCAGGTACTTGCATTCTAACTAGAATATGTCACTAAAGAACTCATCAGTATCATAATAGGCCTTCACAGCCAACAATTCTTTCACCGATCTCCGAAACCTCCCATAATCTTCACTAAGTTTGCAGTAATTGGGGAGTTTGTTGTACATTTTAACACTGTCATATATAAGAGACTGTTTAGTTTGAGTGGAATGAGGAATAGGTATTGCAATGCAGCCATGATTCCTTGTATTATGAGGATGCGAAAGAGTTGAATCTTTATATTTCTTAAAGATTAAACAAACAGTTTCCAGGATAAAAATGCAGACAACCGTCAAAATTTTTTGTTTTTTAAATAGTGGTCTACAATGATCTCGAAGTTTGGCCCCGCAAACAAACCTAAGAGCTCGCTTCTGCAAAACAAAGACCGAGCCAAACAACTGTCTGCTGCAATAGCCCCAAAATGCAATGCCATACCTCAAGTGAGACTCTATTAAGGCAAAGTATACTGTTCTTGCCATCTTACTGCCAAGTTCGTTATAAGTCTGCCGAACTGCGAAACACCCAGATGACAGCCTTTTATTTAAATTTGAAATGTGAATGTCGAATTTTAAATTATTATTTATATCCAATCCCAAAAACTTCATGCTTTTATTACATTTTATACATTTGTCCTGCAATTGTATATCGGAAATTGAAAATCTGAAACTTAATATTTTTGTTTTTTCTATGTTGAATGATAGGAAATTGGCATCGCACCAGTCCTTCACCTTGAGAATATCTTCCGAAATGATGGTTTGTAGTTGGCCTTGGTTAATATTGCTCCACTTTAATGTTGCATCATCAGCAAAACTAGTTAAGTGGGCTTGAATTTGGATATTGGATAAATCATTAATGTATAAAATAAAAAGGATAGGCCCTAACACAGAGCCTTGTGGTACTCCATGATTAATTTCTTGTAACTCTGACTTAGAATTTCCATTTCTAACCATTTGTTTACGTCCAGTAATATACGATTTAAAGTAGAGCGAAGAGACATCTCTAAACCCATATACACTAAGTTTATCTTTTAGCAGCTTATGGTTAACGCAATCAAACGCCTTTGTAAAGTCGCAGAAAATCGCTGTGGCGTATTTTTTGTCATTTATATTGAAAAACAAACTTTCCAAAAATGAAAATATTGCGTCGTTAGTGCTAAGGGACTTCTGAAAACCAAATTGGCTACTGTTTATTATATTATTAGTTTTAATAAATTCTAGCATTTGTTTTTTTATAATTTTTTCAATGATTTTGGTTAAGGTTGGCAACAATGCAATAGGGCGGAAATTAGCGGGGTCATCATAACTCCCTGCTTTGTGTAGTGGGATAACTACAGCTGTTTTGAGGCAATTTGGGAAAATGCCAGAAGAGAAGCTTTGATTTATTGCATGTGCCAAAATATCTAGAACATGGTTATTAAGATTTTGAAAAATTTTTATGGAGATTTCATCTATTCCAGAGCTATTTTTATTTTTTATTTCGTTAAAAGTATATCTTAATTCTAGTGTGTTTGTATTCCTATTCCTGTATTAAATGTCTCGTTAACAACTAAATCCTTTAGATTTTCAAGAGGGTCGATGTTGGAATGAAGATTCTCAGTTAATTTATTTGCAATAGAACATTTATTCAGAATATTCGAGTCAAGGTCTGAGCCATGGGGTTTCACGCTGTTCTTACCTCTTAGGTCATTTACAATTGACCAAGCTTCCTTAGTTTTATTATTTGCATTATTTAGCCGATCTTCGTAAAAAATGAGTTTGGTTTTTTTTATTATTTGTTGATATATACTTCTGTACTTGAAAAAATATTCGTGAAAAAAAAGATTATTTGTAAATTTTTTAATTTTAAGCATTTCAAATTTTTACTTGCGATTCTTATACCTTTTGTGATCCAATTTTTTTTTATTTTTCTCTTTCTCATCCTACACAATGGAAATGACCCATTAAAGCAATGAACCAACAGTGCATGAAACTCCTCTATTGGTTCATTATTGGCTAAAATACTTTGCCAATCAAAATTTAAAATGTATTGTCTAAATTTTTTGAAGTTTGTTCTGCTAAAAATTCTACCCTGCCTCTCAGGTTTAATTTTGGCCTAAATCTAATTGGACAGTCGACAACCAAAGCCTCATGATCAGAGAAATCAATCGGTACCACTTGACAATTAACGAATTCTTCCAAAAAATTTGTACAAAAGTAGTCTATTTTTGTAGAGTTCTTATTACAAATTCTTGTTGGAGATTTTACGTGCATTTCCAAATTAAAAGACCTCAATAAGTCTTTCAAGTTTAATGTGGAATGGGAATTTTCGTCATAATCAATATTAAAATCTCCTCCTAAAACTACGCTAGAGTTAACTGGTAAATCCATTAAAATGTATTCAAGATTAGTTAAAAATCGAACTATATTTTGATAAGGTGGTCTGTATATGCATATGATGTAGAATTTATGTGGTTTACTCACTGCTTTTGAAAATTCGAATATACCTTCTGCAAGAAGATGATCATATTTGTTGACTGCTTCCAAATCGAAATATTTTGAAATTTTTTTACTAAATAATATCATAGTCCCGCCATATCCAGCTACATTCTGTCTGCAAAATTTAGATACAATATAGTACTCCTGAACATTGCAGTGCTCAGAAACTTCCAGCCAGTGCTCTGTTAGTAAAATTATATCTGGAGTATCAAAATCCTGGAGAAATATAAACAAGTCATCTAATTTATTTCTTAATGAACGAATATTAAGTTGAACAAAAGTTACACTATTTCTATCTATTTCATGATGAACTAACTTAGGGTAGTTATATCCTGCACTATATGAAAATCCCTGACCTCTGCAACGTTCGTAGAGTTCGAGCTTTCATTAAAATTTGATAGATCAGTAGGGCCAATTGAAAGGTTTACTCCTACACTACTTGATTCAGTACTCTGGTTCTCTAGTTGCGAACTGTTAATATAAGTAAGAGTTTTACAATTAGTTAGAAGAATCGCATTAACGATTTGCCCTGATATTTCCATATTTTTAAGCTTCTTACCCACGACGTTACAACTATCTAAAAAGGAAACTTTATTTGAAGAAAATCGAACTTCCTAACTAAATTTAACAACCTTCCATTAAAATCATAGCACATATCTGAAAACTTATAACTTACTGGAACAGAGAGAATAACAATATTAGTATGGACACATTTCTTTAAACTACTTACAATATTTGATGCATTTGGACATTTACCCTCACAAAAATAATTATAGCCCACAAAAACCACTATGTAGTCATTTACACTAAAGTCACTGATTAATGCAGACACCTCATTCATGATATCCTTGTGTAGAGCAAATGGTTTGATTATTGTCTGGACAGTGAAATTAGATGATTGCAGATCTTGGCCAAGTCTTGAGCCAAGGCCCCTACCCATCTGATCGCAAAGAAGTAAGACACCGCCAGTGCCAATGCTAGATTCACCTTGGACTCCAGAAGCACTGCTGGCTTGACCTCCTCTCAAACGTTTGGGATGGTGATTTTCCAATTGATCAGTACTTTCGGTAGGAAAAGTTTCTGTTTGGAGACAGGCATCCAAGCACTCCACAAGAGGCTTGCTACGCTTTAATTTCGTGTTTACACTCATGAGGTCCTGCACATATTTTTTGTTTTCATTTGTCAAAAAGTAATTCTGGGCTCTAAGTTTTATAACTTCCTTCTCAAAAATTCCCAACTGAGTTAAGTGTATCCCATTTTGCTCACCAAGGCTTGAGTTAAGCTTAAGCAGGTCCGCCAATTCCTTCCTATTACGACCCAGGATCATGTTTAGAGACTGAATTGTGGAATCATAGTTCTTTTCAGCCTCGACTATCTCTTCATCAATAGTTAAGGTTCTTCTTTCTAGACGTCGAATATGGTTATCTTTTGTTTTATTCTCGGTATTGAGTCTGTCAATCTCCACAAGCAAGGACCGCTTCAGGTCCTCCATATCAACTTCCAAATTATTAATGTAAAGGTCTTTTTTTGAAAGTTCAACCCTAAGCTGATTATATTTATCAGGAAGCTGACGCAAATCCCTCTGGTCAACCCTACAGCTACTGCAGAGAAAAAGTAATGACCTATTCTGCAGAGTAACAGCATCCACTTCCGTGGCAGTAAGGCCAGCACAGTCCCTACAAAAGTATAGGTGGCAGGTATTGCAGGGAATACTGAAGAGTTCTTCCTCCTTTGAATTTGGCCGACGTTTGAAAATGCATTGCGACTGGCAAATTGAACAGTTTGAAGCCATAGCTCTTTTTAAAAGTTCTTCACAGATATTTAACTAGTCCGCTAGAAGAAGATATAGAAAAAGAAAAAGCAGTCCGGTCCTGCATAGAACAACAACCGAAAACAAAGACCAGATAAGACTACCGATTTTGTTTATTTTAATTATAAAGTCATAAATAAATTTGTTTACATTAGACATACCAATCCTGAGAATCCTATCATGAAATAAATATACAGTAGGTATACAAGTACTGTTTTGGCATAGCCACAGCCTCCTACACTTAACAAGCCATGAAGTTAAAAAGGCAACAATCATACCGCCAAGTGGTCCTGGTGCTGTTTG